TGTTAATTACCCCGAAAAAGGAAACGAGCATGTTTAGCAGTCTGCGTAAAGATAGTGATCAATACTATGTACAGCTCGATCATTTCAAAAATCCACCCGAATCGACGAATTGTGTGACACAGACAAAGAATCCGATTTATCAAGGGAGCTGACGGCAAACCCCCATTAATAAAATTTAAGTATAGACCGAATTATAGACTAAATAAGCTCTCTCAATACTCCTAAAGAGACGAATGATTTCAATTCAAACCAATCCCTCACTCTTTCGACAGTTAATTATGTAGGGCTAACAGTAGGGCTCTCTATATACAACATCTGCACCTAAAGTACAACTTACATTCAAGCAGGTTTGTTGAATGCGTACTTAACGAGTCACATTACAATTGTATAAACACTTATTGTACCGTGTTGGTACTTAGAGGGTGTAAGCTTGTAATGACATGTATTAAGCTTTGTCTTCTTTATACTGAGCTTTATATGTATTTTGTACCTACATTTGTATTACAACTGACAATCAAATGAAATCGGTGATGGCAGTTTTGCTTGCAGTTTTGATAAAGCCCAGAATGGAACCATAAAGAAGACAATAAGTACCTGAAACGTGTATAAGAATTCCCTCGTAATATGAAGGGCTGAAATCCTCGTATTTTGTCTGTTTTTTAATCCGGGACTCCTTGGAAAAGAATTAAGATATATTTTTAGCGTATTTTCCAACTTATGTTGGAAGGTGCACTTTCTCCGTCCGTCCGTCCAAGGCCCTAACTACTCCTACAGTTTTCAAGATATTTAGTTCGTTCTTTTTTGCATTCGGTAGCTAATACTCTGGCACCTCAACCAAGAAAAATCAGGTCAATAACATGCTCTATGTCCTCTTCTTTCTTTCAGAATATTCTACATTTTCTTTCTTCTTTTTCTTTTCCTCTACTCCTCCTTTTCCGTCTGATTCTCGCTACTTGGGTAACCACCCGTTATTAGCTCTTTACCTTTACAACTACTTTTACGTGCGCTCTCATCTTCGCCCTCTGTTATTGTATTTGTGTATCCAGATTCCTTTTTTTCCGTTCATTTTCTACCTTTTCTCCTACTGGTATTCTCTCTTCGCTCTTACGCTTAGCCCGTCTGTATCGTTTTATTTCGCAAAATTTCCTCTTTGTGCTTCCCACATTCCTTTTGCGTTCATCCTCGTTGTCACTAGTGTTCTCTGTCTATCCTCTCCTCCGATCTTACCGCCCTGCGCCCCGACCCCATCTTTATCTTTCCATTTTTGTTTCTTCCTCTAATATACAATTTGTTGTCTTGCATTTAACACTAATACCCTTTTATAATATCTTCTTAGTTCTTTGTACTTTTGCTTCCCATTTGTTCCCCACACCTGTCTCATCGCCATCGCCCCCTTTTTCCGTAATGCTCCTATTTGCGCATTTTCCCTATTGTTTCTTTGCATTTGGTACCCTAAATATTTAATTTATTTTACCTTTTCTATTGTTTCCTCCCTCCACTTTCATTCTATTTCCCTTTCCCTGCCTCCCCTCTTTTTAGCTTCATCTCCCCCCCCCCCCTTTCAGCTTCATTCCTTCCTTTCCCAATACTGTCCCATTATTCCCATGATTTCCTTTATCTGTTCTACCTCTGTTACCATGATCCCTGCGTCGTCCGCGTTTGCCAGGGACCATATCTTTCTTCTTCCCGCTACTATCCCTCCACCTTGGCTCTGTTTTAATACTTTTTCCATGTCTCTTAAGTAGAAATTAAAATAAGTTGGGCTAAGTGAGCATGTCCATGTTCAAACTCTTTCCCTTTTACCCGCAATCTTGTCTCTCCATTTAGTTCTTTGATTCTGTCCTTTAACCTGGCCAATTTTCCCATTTTCCGTACTTTTTCCCTTTCCACTCCGGCAAACGCGAACACCGTTCCGCCCTTTTTTTCCATTCTTCTGCCACCAATATGCGTCATTCATATATGCAGTCCATCGTTCCCCTCCCTTTTGTGAAACCACTTGATGTTTCCTTCAACATCATGTTCTTTTCTATTTCTCTCTCTAGTCTTTCGTTCAGTATCATTGAATAGATTCTATACGCCGTAGTCATTATAGTAATTCTTCTATAATTTCCCAGACAATCTTTGTTCCCTCTTTTGAAGATCGTCACAATTACTCCTTCTTTCCATTCCGTGTTTACTAGATTTCTCATCCTTTCCTTGACCATATCTGTGGCGAAAATCCAAGCCTCATTACCTACCTCTTCCATAGCCTCACCTTTCTCCTGCTTTCCCTGTAGTAAGTTGACAAAACGTTGTTTTTATTCCTCTAACTGTATTTCCCTCCCACTTGTACCTATTTTTCTTTTTTCTGTTTTCTAAAATTTTTTTAAAGTTTATTTTCACGATTTGCTCTTCGTATTCTTTTAGTTTCTCCATCGTTTCCCTATATATTTATTTCTCTCCTTTGGACACCCCCCCCCTTCAGTTATTTGTTTCCACGTTATTGATTTTTTAATACTCTCCTCTTCTCCTTTGTTGCTCTACTCTCCTTCTATACAGCTCCACCGTGTCTCTCGTCCATAACTGCATCTCCCTTCGTCTTTGTTTTTTTTTACATTTCTTGATCTTCTTGTCTTCTCTTTTAGATTCAATTCCATCGGTTGGTGATCCGATTCCGTCCTTGTTCCGATCTTACATTAATCTATTTTTTTCAGTACTTTTTCATTTACTATTGATCATTTGATCAATTACCGACCTTCCTCTTCCTCCCATGTATGTAAATTGCCCGTTCCTATCTCCCTCCATGTTTCCCTTTAAGATCCTTCAACCTCTCTTTTCTGATTCCATTACCTAACACTTTTCCCTTTTTGTTGCACTCTTTATCTCTTATCTGCTCCTTTAATTCCTGTTCAGGCATTAAAATCTCCCCAATATTAGCCCCTCCTCCTCCCTTTCATCCTCAATATTTTCTATTTTTGCCTCCATCATTCCTTCTCTGTTGTATATTGTTATCATTTTCTTTCCCCCCACTTCCACTCGTCTGACCTGTATTCCTTGTTTCTATTTCGTTTCATCTCCCCATTCCTTTATCCCCTTTTACCTCTTCCCTCTTCGCAAATTGGTTCTTCCGTATATATTCATTTGGAATCCGGTTTTTCATTTTCTCCCAATTCTTTACTTCTATCCATGATTCTTATTTACCTCACGACATCATATCCTCTTACTCCAAATTGAGCGGCTTTACCAGCTACCCCCGCTACATTCTAGAATATCAGTTTTATGCTGCCCTTTTTTCAGTTTTCTTCTGTTGTTTGTGTCTGTACCCCCTCCCCCTCTTTCTAACGCCTCTATCTTCTATTCTCCCTCCTCTTCTGTTCTTCCCTTCCTTGTTCGCAATCCTTTGATGCCACTTTGACCTATTGCACATCTCTTTTTCTTGCTTTCTTGATCCTTCACAATTACTTTACATTTGCCTGACGCTCCTTTCTCGCCCCCTTCACATCGCCTTCGCACCCCCTCCTTTGACAGTCACGCCAATTTAACACCTATTTCACATCTGTTTCGCGACTTTTTCACACGTCGCTCGCGTTTTTTCTCCAGTACAACCCCTTCATTAAAATTTCTTTCCTTCCCCCCTTTTCCTTTTCCAAATGTCTTTCAAACCTTCTAACGAGGCGTTCGTTGAAGGAGATCTTCAAGGATTTTGTCCTCCTTTTTCATGCCCTCTCCTTAACGGTTTCTTCACAGATTTTCCGTCAAGTTTTTTTCCCTTAGCACTTCGTTCGCGTCTCCTCCTTTCACATGTTTTACCTTCACACGTCCTCTCTGTACTTTCCTACACCTTTGTGGTACCCTCACAAGTTTTCTCCTCTTTTTCATCTTTTTCTCTCATTTATTCCTTTTTAACACTTTCTTTCTGTAAACCTGATTTATGCCTACATTCTGTTTAATCTGCTTTGCTCTTCACGTCAGTAAAGCCCTTTTTCTGACGTCACGTGACGTCACAGTGCTGCGTTGAAATTGGTTGCGCCATTGTGTGGCAGTAAGTTTGAATTTTTGAATTTCCGGATGTCGACCATTTTGTTACGGTAAATTTGAATTGTGCGGGAGATTTGAATTTTTTACTGTGATTGGCTATGTCATTTTAAATATGCCAGGTGTACATTACTATGAGTACAAATTCGCACAGAAAATAATGCACTTGAGAAACGGCAAAATTTTTATAAATAACAGCTTTCGTCTGAATTTGCTATATGGTTTTTTGTTTCAAACATACAGTCAAAAACGGCTTTCAAAAAAGGGAAATTGTACTGCGAGTTTATATGAGGAAACATGTAAATTGACATGAGTATGCCATTCAAACATCCTCAGATGGGTGTGCCATGAACAAAAGTAACCATTTACCTAAATAATGAATTAGCTAAACACCATCATAAAATAAATCAAATAACAATCTCCAATAGCAAATGTTTACGATGGCATTTATTAAAGGATTTAATTTTATTCAAAATCTAATAAATTGCAGTTCTAATTTGATTACACTTGGGTAATCAATTCAAAATGAGAAAACGCTGTTTTTATTACCTACAATATACCTATAATTGTGTTTGGAACACAGCCAAATATTAATGCGTTAGTTCCGCGGTCCTTCAGAAATACGATTCATTCGAATTCATTTTGTAATGAGCCGAACATGACATCTCACTTATGAATTTAACGACATTTTGTTTTCATCCACAGGTTGGATGTGAGGTCCACTAAATTTTTAATCTTTTGCGTTTCCAAAGTTGCCATAGTTGCCTGGAAATTACTATATTTACTATGTGTTTTTTATTGGTCATAGAAATCCAAAATTTCAAAGGAAATTGTATGGCGAGGTAGTCAGTCTGTTCTTCTGCACAACATCCAAGCATACATACTTGTATTAATACCTTCATTTATCGCGTTTTCTGGTTACATATCTAATCTAGATATAATGGTGTATTCGAACTTTAAGATTTTGATCTATACTTTTGTTACAGACGTGTCAAGATGCGTGGATGTCCATTTCGAAAACAAAGATGGAGGCTTCTTTCTGAAGCATTCACCTAGGCAACACTACCAGCCAACATCCGAAATTAACGTACCGCCAGGCTCACTCCTTTCCATCGATCGCTTTACTGTATTTCAAACTTCGCAGCCTATATCTGTACGAGCCACTTACGGCCCATTCAGTACCAAACAAACAGTACCCGCTCGATACGTAGTGCCCGATCCGTTACCGCTAAACACGTCAATTACTCCGACAGAATTACAAGATTTGGCAACCCACCACTTGGACATGTCCGCTCATATTGTGCGAAACGAGATTCCCAGAGATTCTCCTGTACTAAGGGTGCTATTTCACACCGGTACCGATCCTGGAAATCGGAGGCAGCTGCTCTTCTCGCGTCACCATCAGAAAGTGTGCATCGTTTTGCACGCCACTCTTGCGAATCGACCGGTACTGTCGGCCGCTTGCAGTCCCGATGGTGAAGATGGCGTTTGTCTGGCTCAGATAACGATACCTTCGTCCTGGTGGCCGCCGTTACCACCGCCAGATAAAGAAGGTAGACCCGGGAAAACGCTAAAGTCACCACCAAGGCTGGTGCAAGTCGCCTATTCACTTCTGGAACCACGACCTAGCGAAGAAGATAACTGCCAACCAAGGATACAATTCCAGCCGTCGACGGTTTTAGGAACGGTGCCTTTAGTGCAGGCGAAAGCTGCTTATAAAGAACTGAAGCTGACGGAAGGATTAACAATGCTTGTACCTCATCCTCCGCTGTTTCCACTGTCACGAATGCACATACCCGTTTTTCTCGAGAGGGAGAAAGCCAAACTTCTAACTGCGATCGTTGTCAGGTAAGCTCAGCTTTTATCGTCTAAATGCAATCGAATTTTACTGAAAGCTCAATTAAGATCTCTATTAAGTTTAAATGCTAAAAGTAGACGCATATTAATTATGCGTCACTTGAGACCGCAATGAGTTATATGTGCGCTCGATACGCCTTGACGTAATGGATATTACTCGTGTCCCATCTGTTTGGAACAGAAAATTTAGGGCCATGTATTGCCAACAGAGTTATTGCTCCAGTCAATCTTATATCTTCCGTTTGATGCGCCGCAAATATTGGATTTTCGAGAAGGAAATTGCAATAGTCTAACACTTCAGTTGTCAAATAGCGCAAAAGGGATGTTTTCTTTGCCCGAGGTAGTTTATTTTAGTTGCGTGCATTATGTTCCACCAGGAAATTACAATTTGGTTTGGTACTATATTTGTGCTTTTTGGTAGGTATTATCTTTCTCGAAATTTAATGCCGAGTGTGCGATATTCGAAATGTAATTCGACCACAACCAAGAATTCTGCATAATTACTTGCTTATGCTACATTTAAAAAACTGGAGAAAATGTGTGCGATTACTTTGACGTTTAATTATGACTCTCTCTTCGTTATTAGTTTAACTGCCAGAACAAAATTCTCCCAACAATAGCATATTCTAGCATATTGCCTGCGAATAGGGTAGGTAATACGTCAGTTTAACCGGTCTGATCCACAAGTAATCCTGGAAATAATTAACTTGTTGATGTTGGGGATCTGTATTATGCCTTTTTAAGTCTTGTAGTACATACGTTCTAGACAGGTTGTAACAGAAGAATATCTGGACTTCTCCCTTTATTAACAAGCGACAAAAAGCGAGTTTATGATTTTGGACATTTTGTCCGTCCATCTGTGGACACGATAACTCACCAACGGTTTCGAATTTTCTAATTTTTAGCAATAGGTAGACAATGGTCAAGGGACTAATTGATTAAATGTTGATCAATATTCGTCAACCGGAAGTGACGTTGTCGCTCGTTGTCTATATTAGTGCAATTTCGTTTTGTATCCATAAACTGATTATTTTTTCGAGAATGTTTAGGAAGTTCATTAAATAACGTAACATAAAATCCTCTCGGTTCCGATGTGTAGAAGTTACCATTTTTCAGTTTTCCCTCATAACTCGAAACCGGCTCGGAAAAAAAACTCCACAAATAAAACGTTGCAACTTTACTTTTTTGAAAATCTCAACTCGTAAATACACCTTTCCGCCTCACTTTTTTTAATGAAACTCCTTTCGAGTCTTTGCTCTTTTTTGCAGATATAGCGTCAAAAAAAGCTGTCGATTTTCTTCAAAAATATGATATACAGGGGCGGACTGGCCCGGGGGGGGGGGGGCGGGTGGCGATTGCCACTTGGCCTGTACGTCATAATAGCCCGTTGGAAATTTATAAGTAGGTGCTGTATTTAGTTTCTTGCACTATTAATAAATTATTTACACGTTTCTCTAATTGGGGTTGATGTTAGGTTGTTAAAAAATTCTGTTTTAATTGAAGTGTTTTACAATGAATTTATCATTTTTTGTCGTGGCATGAAAGTGCTGAAATACAATGATAGGCGACGCGCCTCGTTTGGATTGTATATTTTGTTACTTTTAATTATCAGCTGCAATTTAAAAAAAAACTGTATTGTAATTGATTTCCGAAAAAGGAGTAGGTACCTTAAAATGAAGCAAAAAATGTTTTTGTGGTGCACCGCAGAGCTACCCCCCCGCCACCTTCATTACTACACTAATACTTTAATGGCCCGTAACCTATGCAATTCCACCTGGCCCGCCCCTGACTAGAAACCAATTTCGAAAGAAAATTCAAAGGGCTGTAACTTTTGAACTAGTGGCCCAATCTTGGAACTGTTTGAAATTATGGATTCTACAGGCCACATTCTATAAGAAAATTTTTTTCCGGGTCGACCTGAGACAATTTTTTTTTCGGTCCTCAAAAAAGGCAGTGTATAACCTTCCCTTTTTACCAAAAATCGACTGCACCAAAATTTCTCGGGAAAACACTTTTTCTTATTAATTTTGGTGCGTAGAATCCAAAATCAATCAAAAGTTATGGACTAGAATTGATATACACATACAGGGTGAGTAGTTTTTACCTACACATAAAACCACTGGGACTAGTGTTCGCGAAAGAGGCCACTAAATCAAATTCTAAGCTGGAGATGGTAAATGGTCCTTTAGAATCCGGATTCGAATACTTCTAGGGAAAATCATTCTTGACTACGTGTAAAATTGATTCGCATTCGATCGGTTACACGTATGATTCGTTAAAGGGTTCGTGAATCTTTTTTTCTAAATTTCTCTCCTTGTTTTTACGTCTTATTTAAAATATTCACATCTAACTTGATACCTATCTCCGGAAGACGATTTTTCAATATTCCGCCGAGCTTCGCTATGTGTCAATTCATTTTCTTTCTTTCGCCGTTGAATTTTTCTTTTCGTTTTAACGCCATCCATAATTTTTTGTTTTTTCAGGTTAAAATTTAGCTGTACTTTTAATGATGTTCTTTTGATTTTATTAGTTGCTTTGTAACAAAGTGACTCGCTGTTATCCAGAATTGTTTTATTTTCGTTTTTCTATTACCCTCTATTAGTTCCTTACCATTTCGTGTACTTTTATGCGCTTTTTTCGTTTTTGTCATTTTTTTGTGTCTATCTAGAAATAGACGTGTCGGTCATGTGTACAGGGTGTCTCATTAATAAGGGCCACAGACCATATCTATGGAGCCCCAGTGGCGGATTTAAATTTTTTGCGCCCCTAGGCACACCGAAAGATATGCGCTCCAAAATAATGTTTTAATTGCAATAAATTTTAAGATGCTAATAAAAATCAAATTATAACTTGAACTTTTGAAAACTAATATGAAAAGAAATACAGTATACCTAAGATTAAGTTTTCACACACGTCAAAACTTGCATTGTCGATTATTGTTCTTACAGTTACAAACTGTAATAATTGTTTAAATTATCTACCAATTCCAATTTATTTCATAATTTTAATTAATTTTGTTACTTGTTAGGGGACTTATTGTAAAACTCAAAATGTTACCTAAAATAAATATAGTGCAAAAAATGCCGCCCTCTAAAGCTGCCGCCCCTAGGTATGTTTTTATATGTAAATCCGCCACTGTGAAGCCGTTAATTGCACAGTTTCGGGAAAAAGATTTTGCTAAAGAAATGGACCAAGAGAAATTGCTGGAAATTCTTTTCAAGTTTCTAGGTTTGTCGCTAGAGGGCGTACGATTCATGGTTCTTAGAGAAATTACTTTTTTCGTAAAATATACCCAACAAACATGCATAAAAAATATATGCGTCGCAATCTGGTATCAGTTTTGCATCGTTTTGATGCAGCACATATTGCTCTAGTTCATACATTATGAGGGGTGGGGAAAGGGGAATATCTCTCTAAGGAAATGAATGTAACCACGGTTTAGGTTAACCGATTTTCCCATAATATGTCTTGCTGGAAAGTCCTTTCTTTGTGGAATCAGAGTTTATATGAATAGAGTCTTTTTAGTAACTGTGATGAGTGGTAGAGGGCGCGATGTGACATGAACATAAACTTTGCAGGTTTTTTTTTGAAAATTCAATGTAATAACATGTAATACCATAATATGGTAGGTCCTCCTTAATTTTTTGTATGAGTGGATCGTCAATTCTATAACATCCACGGAAGATCCAACGCGCAGTACGCAACGTGCCCACAACAGAATAATCCAAAATAATTTCTTGTTTGGCCTCTTGCTCCATAATGTCACTGTTATGTTAACAAAGCCTTTTTTGTTTGCACATAATTATTTCTCGTTACAGGGGTCGAGTGAAGAGCGGAATACGAATACTAAATGCAACCCCAAGTGATTCATCTTCATGGAATGTAACAGTAGAAATAAACCCGAGACATACGGGTGCTTCTGTCACGGCTTTGCGAAAAGAACCAATCGATCCGGAAGTTGACGCAAATTCCGCTGGCGAGTAAGTATAGCAATCGAGTATTTACCTCCATCGCGTACTAACAGAGCTCTACATTAGAGTTCAAGAGCTGTTCACATGGCTAATTGAGGTTACTGAAGACGCGGCCGAGTTGTACGAAGGAGCGCGCGTAGTTTGGTCAATGAAACTAGAGCCTAATCAAGAAGAAGGCGAAATGCCGGAATCGCACCGTGCCGATGGCAAAAAGTCTACCTCGCGTTTAGACATACAGAAGGACGATATTCAAGCAGTGGTGCCGATTAGTAAGGTAAGTTAAATCAAAGTAGGTAACGAAATGGTTCCAAAGTTTTTACCAATTCAAGCATGAAAGCGGTATAAACGTTTTGCAATTTATTCTGTTCGTGTATATCCAACAGTAGCTACAACGTTTCTCCATGCGTGTAAAAAGGCCATAAAACTTACCTAAGCGAAAGAGTTTTTGTTAACTTTACAAATTAAACCCGAAATTCTAAGGATTCGCACTACCATATGAAGCTCATATTTTTCGCGCGTAAGTTAGACGAATAATTTTCAAACGCTACATACTAGAGAGGCCACAAGTTACCCCTGTAAACCCACCAAACTTGCTCTAAACTTCAAAACATGATTAGTTCATCTAAACTTTGTCGAATATTACTAAGTTTTATAACAATATCTATATATTTTACCCTACCTTCCTTCATACGCGTTCAATTTATTTCGTTGGTTGCTTCATGGCAATGGCTATGCCTAAACAAACGTAAAGATGTTACATTGAAAAAGTATTTCGTCCTTAAAGGACTACGAGTGTAAACAAATGGGAGATACGACCTTCTTTTATGATTTGTTTGCACTTATAAAACGTTAAATTCAAAACCTCTCTCAAAGCGTTTTATTTATGGGTGTAAGTCCAGAATAAACCCCTCGAACGCTTATTACCTTTGCGCGTATCCTCTCATAAATTTAAGCTTATTCGCAAACATGTCGATTGCGTAATTAATATTCGTGGATAATTACAGAACTGGGAGGTTTTGAACACCGCAGTGCTAACGGGAAGGCAAGTATCTCAGGCTATGAAGGTTCTAATAGTTTCGCAAGCGGGTAAAGCTGCAGATGTTACTTTTCAAGCCTCTTGTCATTCTGAAGATGATAGTGTGCTAAAAGTAGGTACACAAGTGAAATTGTAGCGAGTAATTTACTAGTGTCTAATTAGGTATCGTCGTCGTGTAGTTCTGTTTACGTCGATGGAAGTGAAGCTCGCGGTTCTGTTAATGGTTCTGTTTTAGTCAAGTACGGCACTTACACTGGACTTGCCCGCTTTACAGTGTGGATGCCTGAATTTCCGCTCGATTTGCAAGTTTTTGATGTAAGGCTGTCCCAAATTAAGTCTTGGAAAGTACCTGACTACCACCAGAGGTGAGTAGCATGCAACATTGATGGATGTCTAACTTTCTTGCTTAGTGGGACAAAAATTAAACGGAAAAAGCGCTCCTACAATACCTGGGGAACGAATAGTATGATTACAGATGACATGGGTAACGTTTTGGAACGTCCCAGTTGTCGTTTACGCTATCAGCAAAGTCCTGTGGACGTTTACGCACATTTTATGGCTAGCGATCACGATTCTGGCCGGGTTACGTACTTGGTTAATAGACGTACGTGGTTACGCGTCACGGATTTGGTACTTCCACTGCTTAGAGTGAGCGATCCTCGTATTGCCAATCTTCGAGGAAGAATCTTGCAAGGCCGTAGTATGGGACGAACTGAAGTTCAGGTAGCTAGTCTATTTATTACCTACCTATATTTTTATTCTCATCTTTGTTTAAATAAATTCAGGTGTTTACAATGTTACCCCATACATATATGTTCAGGAAAACCTTTGAATATATGAAAAAGAGGTAAACTGATTTCCTAAATAGGGATATCCAAAGGGTAAACTGATTTTCTAAATGGAGACAATCCCTATGAAATATTCATGTTTGTGAAACTACCACTAATCACATCTGTCTCGGTTAACAACTCACTAACCAACTCACTGACTGATGGCTCAAAAACTCTTGTCCAATTAAATGTTACTATCCAATGCATCATTTGCTTTGGTTAGGACCATATAGGTTTTAATCTTCCTGTTCTGATCGTTGTCTCTCCTGCAGTCTACAGACTACAGCAATTCACTTATAACTTTAGGTACTTTCGCCAATTACGGGACGGGTAATAGGGGCTAAGGAAATACGAGTTGGTAATGACAAAACAGGAATATCAAGGCTATCGGTTCAGGTCGTCTCTGGTCTGCAACTTAACATATCCCCAGACAGCGTGAATGAGAACGGATACATCGCGGAGACTAGTGTCACCCGTAAACTAACAGCGCAGTACCAAGTAGGTTTTACCGTTTGCTCTATACATTTGAATCCAAAGTTGTCGTTATAGGAAGGATTGCTGGATATAGAACTTGAGTTTTCTGACGGCAGTAGAACTCCGCTTCGCGAGGTGCCAGATACGGACTATCACCTGGTGGTGGAAAGTTTGGATCCTGAAGTCGTCGCTTTCGCACCTATGGTCGCCTCGCATCACCCCCGCGTGATTGCGGTGGGCGAAGGAAGCGGCGACTTATTACAAATTACGTTGCTTCTACCAGAGGAATGTCGTGGTACAACCAGACCTAAGCTAAAGGGAAATGGACCGTTAGCATCTGCTGCCGCTTCGGTCACTGTCGACTTTAGCGCCAGCGATTTACCGCATCGGCCCGACATTTTACAAAACGACGGTGGTTCTTACAGTGGATCGAAAATGGGACGGGATTTTCACGATTTACAAGACATTTTGAAAGGTACAGGCAGTATTTATTTTTGAATCTAATCGCTCTTTTATAGGTACTGCCATAAGGGATGATGATAATGACGAACCGAATGTACAAGCAAGGCAACATCAAGGTGGAAAAGGCATAATAAGGCATCATGCACCGATGAACATGACCCCCTTGGAAATCAGCATGTACGTCTTACTTGCCGCCTTTTGTTTTGCTATTGTGGTAAATTATTCCAAATGATTTCGATCTAGGTATATTACAAGACGCTAATTTCAGATTTTTGTCGTATCGTGTATGGTTTACGCTTCCAAATTTAAACCAGTCGAACCGGGTACTCACGGTTTAACCGCGGCGCCAGTCGCGTTGAATCCTCAAAAAGAAAGGAAGCCGCGCGAAACCACCACCAACGCCCACGATTGGGTTTGGTTAGGTAAGCTCGACAAAAACGCAGTATGCGCTGACTAACTTGCATCCCATTTAGGAAGAGCAACTTTAGAACACACTTCAAATAGGTCTTCGACGGTGAATAATAATCCTCCCGAAATTCGAATCACTACCAACCCTTTAAATATGAATTATTGCGATCCCGAGGACTGCGTACCATCCAGCTTTAGTAATCCTACTCACATAGAACTACCCAGCAGTTCAGCAGTACCGCCAACGAACGCTAGTCAAGTGGACAGTGCTACCTACTGTAAGAGCAAACCTGGTGGAGGAATCGCTAATTCTAACACTACTAACGATGAACTTGATATTTGGTAGGTACATTTTTTGTTTATTTCTTGCATTTCTTTTAACACTGCTAATATTTTACTAAACATTAGTAGCTCTTTTGTTTTATTTATTAAAAAGTTAGTATACCTACTTTGTTCTATACAGTTCAACCTGCCGATTTAAATACTTTCGCATGGTGATGTACCTATTCCCATTCCTTTTGTATTTTGGTTTTTGCCACTTATCTGATCTAGTGTACCTACTGTTTACTGGAATGCGTTTTCTAAACTTCTTTTAGTGCAGGATGAAAACACCAATATGTCATAAATCAGGAAACATGTCAGTAATATTATTTAGTCGACACTTTCGTAACAATTTCACAGTATACATGTGCGGCTTAGATATGATTTACATTCGTCCTACTATCAAATACTTTCCAGATCAAAGGACGGACAAGTCCAGATGTAATGTATGCTTTATTGGTGATTTATACTTACAAGTATTTTCACACGTCATTTTTTCACAGACATAATTGACCATAAATAAAATTATCTACCAATACAATATAAATTTAAAACCTATTTTCTTAGACAAGATGACAATTAGGTAAAATGACAAAGGACAAAATAAATATACATTTAGACAACAAAATCGCAACATCTTCACAAACAGAGCTAGCAATCTAAGTCATTGAAACTATTGTTCAAAAATTCGTTTAGTGAGTAGAATGCTCGACGTTTTAAATATTCCTTTACACTAGCTTTGAATGATAGTGAATCTAAGTTTTTAGTTTTCGTGGGTAATGCATTATAAAACTTCATCCCATAATATGATACGCCATCCTTTGTTTTATTGAGCCTATGAAAAGTTATGTAAATGTGTTCTTTGTTCATGAACTATAGTTATATTGTAATACTTGTTTTATTATGCAGCAGACCTCTGTTTCCGTTTCCGCAAGCGAGGACGTTCTGCATATGTTTTCTTCTTCCGCCTCCTATTGCGCTATTTAATAACGGAAGTATATCGGAATTTTTTAATATGGCATAGGTGCGCTGTGGGCTCTGATTGGCCGAACACGACGGAAGTGAGCCGCGGGCGGGGTTTGTCAGCCGTCAGACGCTTGCGACGTGTTTTTGTCTTTGTTTACTTTCATTTATCTCATTAGCTCGTCGCAACAGTTCGTGCGTTTTATCCCATGGTTCAATAAAAAAAATTATTCTCGTTTTTATCAAATTTATAATGGTATTTACACATCCGGTTCTGCTTCCGCTTCCGCAAAAAATATTCCTTGTCTTCTGTTTCTGCTTCTGCGCTTGTGCTTCTGTTAATAACACTTCTGTTGCATTACTATTTTTTATCCATTTGTGTGGTTTAAATAAACAAAAAAATTGCATCTGTTTGTGCCAGAATAACTGTTAAAATGATAGTGGTAGGTATGTATAGTGCTATATAGTATATCTATATAGGTCTTACACACTTTTTGTCTAATAATTGTCCACTCAAAATATCTTTAGATTCAGAAGTACCTATATACTACTCGTACTCTATAAAAAGGTTGTATAGGTCAATAGAAGCAAAAGTTCCATACTTCATTGCAAAAAAAGTAAATGATGGTGATGAGAAAAAAGGCTCCTCACAAATGCCGTTAGACAGTGATACTATCCCTGAAAGTTATAGATGGCGCTAAGTCTAAAGAACTTAGTGCTAAATATTCAACGCTGCAGCCTAATGGTGGTGCTTACATTTTACCCTTTTGGACGGCTCCCTTGCAGCACAGATTTAAAATAGTATATTTAAATCTGTGCTTGCAGTTAATTTCAAATGAAATTATTTTAGTTATCTGCCATAGTCGCTTCTGATGGAGTGACTTGCGAGTTCGTTCTGTGGTCAGATCGAGATACTCAATGCTGCCAGACTGAGATCAATCACAGTCTGGTTTCGGGTAGTTACATACGTGGGTTCGCTGCCGTGATTGAGAATGTCTAGATTATAGTACTTATGAGATATTCAAGTAATGATTGACCCCTTGGGTTGACGTTAGTACTCCACCATGTAGAGCATCTCTTTACTAAGAGGTAGGGTGATAGAAACTCCCGGGAGCTGACGCTACCTTTAGAGATGAAAACCCAGAAGTGAGCCCCTCCTTCTCCCTTGAGGTTGTTCCTTCAGGGCTGTGTGGAAGAGACACCATTTGCCCGCCTGAACGCAGAGCAGTTTAACCCATTTAGGGAAGCCTTTCGCCTTCTTTCTCCTCTTCTGCGCTTGCGTGATTTGGTGTTATTGAGGATTACCTGTAACATAGGTTGAGCGGTATCCTGAGACGCTCTCCAGTCCCCGATGTTATATATATAGATCATGAATATAAATTACAAATTTTCCAAGTTTTACCTGTTACCAAGAGACTTGTATGTCGCGCAAGACCTGAGTCCTGGAAATTACTTATTCAATGGTAGTAGGTATACCTACTAATATTAGTGCGACTAACATTTTTCGTGAATATGACATGTACTTTCGTCTTTATACACACTCCTATAAATTACTATCTTTGTCAGATGCAACTTTTCATTTTTCAAACCTGATGTATACTTCTTTAAATGAATCAATACATTACCTACCAAAAGTTTGATCATAGTGAGTCACATACACGTTTTTCTTTTGTTTAGGAATAAACCAACTCCACCACCTCCTCTACCTCCACACGCCCATCCACCCATACCGCCTGAACGGCATAAGATACAAATAGAAACTGCAATCGACGAAGACTACAGACCGCCAGTACCTCCCCATCGAAATATCGGCGTGACTGCGCGCATTAGCTCGTTAGAGTCACCGCCGCCTCGTAAGCACCATCATCATCACCATCGCGGAGGTAAACATTCGCAAGACGCGAACAAATATGAAAATCATCCACCTCCAGAAAATTGTAAGCACTTTAACGTCAATGAGAAACTCGACGGCGATTGCGACTTTAAATACGCGGAGGATACCGAAAATCCACCAAAAAATGTTTTCGAGTTTGACGATGAGCCTGTCGCTATATCACCCGTAGAAAACCCTGTCAAAATTCGACACAAGAACTTACAGAATGGCAATGAAGATGACGTACAATTCGTGCATTTACCACATCTAGACACAAGTGGAAACGGTAATAGTTATCTTAAATTACGCTTATAATTAAAATTAGTACATAATATAGGGAATAGGAGTCCAAAAGTTAAAAGGGCAACTATTGTAGGCAATCCAATGTTTAGTACTGAAGACCAGTTAACGAAGGACGACGTACCCGCAGAGTTATCCGGTTTAGACGAATTAGGAATGGATTATGAGCAAATTATGCACTATTTTGATAACCTTAAAGTAAGTACAAAGAGTAAGATGTACCGATATAAAACATCATTCAGAGAAATGTTTGTTCCAGGAATCGAATGCCTGAGTAGAAGAGATCATTGCAAAAATCCAAGACATTCTGTTGTCGTTCAGTGAACAATATCGAGCAAGTGCACTTAACGGCAATATTATGTGCGGGAATGTGAATCAAAGTTTTGAATACTTCTTTGATTATTTAAGCGAGTCGTATGCTTAAATGTGACAAGCTAGTTAGATGTCGGGTCAATTACATTTTAGCCTTGCCTACATCTGTTAATAATACATTAATTAGCGAAGACTGATTATTATTTATTCAAATATGTAGGTAAATCATTAACATACAATCAGAAGTAGGATCGAAAAGCGAGGCAATAAAAATATATGTAATAAGATAAACAAGGCGACCTGGCTCAATAAGAAAATGCGTGGTTTACATACACAGGGTAATTTTTTATTGAAACCATCTTCTTTATTTTACAGTAAACATTGCACATACGAAATAAAGAAGAGCACGATATAGGTTTACCAGTAAATTGCCCTGTTAGTGAGGTAAAAACTAGAATTTGGCGGTAGTTAAGTTAAAAAAGCGAATGAATGGATATTTGCAGTGATCAATTCAGTCATCTAGTCATAGTACTTAAGCTTTATTTAAAATTGTAAGTGGTTTGTACCATTTGTACCCTAACCTGCCATATTAATGTACCCAAAAATTGTAGCAATTGCACAAAACGGTTCCTAATCCGCTTTTAACATTTACCTAAGATATACGACAAATTCTATCTGTGTTTACCATTTATTGTTTTATTATTATTATTATTTTTTATTAATATGTACTATAATTTTCATAATGTGTTACTGTCATTTGTGTAATTACTGTAAATAATGTAAAATACTATTACGACTGATATTTGTGCACTTAGGCATAAGTACATATATTAATTTATAAAATTAATTCGACACAAATTGTCGCTGTACTATTTATCGAAATACAAATTCTCGCTAACTCTATTGGAAAAATTCAAGAGTCGTGAAAACAAATTTATAATACTATATGTGGCGCTTGCACTAAAGCTTATTATGCACAAGCCGACTACCAGTATGGCACACTATTTTACTATATTAACAATTTGGAATTAAAATTCAAAACTTTTTCTTTATTTGTCCGTCAAAGCTGAACAGGAATTGGCATCAATTATTTAAGTTAGTAAATGGTAAAGTAGGATTCCATATGATAAGGTTTCAGGCCAGTGCAAATCGTCCCCTTTCTATCTTAAACTTTAACAGATACTGTTTAAAATAGTATTGTAAACTTTTTTTACATTGATATTGCACAAAAGCTTCTAAACCAGTTTGGACAGTGGTATTTTTGAAAAATTTGTATTTATAAGGATAGACGCATTTAATGTTAATGTTTTAGACTATATTTACTAAGCTGTTGTTTCATTAAATTTTTTTACTAAACGCGAAAAAGTGAAAAAAACCTTAATTTACGAAAGATGTGTACAAATTTAAAAACTAGTTTGGCTAGATAATCGTTACACAATAAACAATCATTTCTAGTCTATATGGAAAATGTGAGTGTAAGCCTTTGTGACAAAAAAAATTGATGTTAGATCTGTTACATACTGAAGCAGCTTTTGTAGCTATTCATGCCGGCGAGAGCTTTGGTAGTTTCTTACCATCATAGTGTTGCAAATTAATAGATGTATATAAAAAACTAACTGATCCTCAAAAACCCTATAGATATAGGAATATCAGATACTATGTGGTTCATAATGTCGAGAATTAATTTTATTATTTCACAAGTACAAATATAAAATCAAGTATTATACTAATAAGCTTCCTTTGTACCTCTTAATTATATGTATTAACAAATATTCTTATGTATATAAATAATTTGCGGTTTAATCTAAATATGCAGATAGTTTTTGCTAAATGTGTAAATTGTACATTTCTTTAATTTACATTCCTCAGTAATACTGCATCTTTGTTTTCCAAGAGTGTGCGCAGCTTTACCAGTTATTCTGATAGGCAAGGTGCAATTAAATAACCGTAATAATAAAGGTGCTAGAATATGTCAATGCGAAAATATTTATACGAATTTTGCTTCTTGTGGTGAATATATAGTTGATAAATTCTAGCATACGCCGTTGTTCTTTTGCAATATTTTATTTTGGAAATTAGGTGCATTCAATAATTGATATTCGAGAGAAACAGAATACTGCTATAATGCATATCATCTGCTAAAAGGAACTGAAAGTGTGCAGGAAAACGAAACTGATTTAATAATAATATTTATAAAAGATTGTATGTTTTTGTTTGTTATTTTCTCTTTTGTGAATTAAAATTATCATGTATTTATGTAAAATATGTAAGTTACCACTTGAACTATATGAAAAATAAATTATTTGTAATGTCTTATGTGGTGTTGTTATGTTTCATGCATCTGTTCAACATTGTTTAAAACGTATTTGTAATAACGAAGTTCATTTGTAAAAATTTCCAATTCAATGAACCAGGAGGACGAGTAAGACTAAGCGAATATGTCTACTAATGTGGTGGGAATTCTATAGCGTGTAGGCCACCGGCCAGGGAGCATCTTATATGGGTGCAAGACCTATCTGTAGTGTCATAGTGGGGGGAGATCTAAAATGCTGAAAGTGTCTTAAGAATTTGGAACCCAAGGTGTAGAGGATGGAATTTAGGTAAGGCAATCATTTTCATTTTAGCGGTGGTGTTCGCCTACGTCATACCATTTTTAAGTATGTTGTACCTAATGCATATTGTATTTTATGGCGAACATATATATTAAAACGTGTGTGCATAAACGCGTTCGTGGGCGAGAAGGTATAGGGATAACAACGCGAGATAGACGACGGTTCGCCCGCGGGAAGAGATCGAGTCAAGGATTCCATGCGTGCGGTTGTTCAGGTCATAAATATTTTGAACGTTGCGAAATAAATAATTACTGGTGGACTGTTGTGGAAAGTTTTAAAAAAGTGAGACAGAGAATGCAAGGTGCGCGCGCATTGTAAGTTATTTACAAGTCAAGAATTGAATTTCTATTCTATTCTATTCGCAGGGGAGCCCGACCGGGCAGCACTTAGGCACACCAGAGGCCCATTGTGCCTACCCCCTTTCTTCGCAACTGAGTTCAGAGCCCGTTCCTCTCAATGAAGGATAGGACCCTGTTTAGCCTAAGTTGCTTCACCCTCCTCGGTTCCAGGTATCTGTCTCCAAGGAGTTGATATCTGTCCCTGATCAAAGCGTCACAGTGACAGACCACATGCTCGGTAGTTTCATCTGCCTCGCCACAGAACCTGCACGTTGACTCCTCCGCGAGCCCAATGTTATGCAGGTGATAGTTGACCATCCAGTGTCCCGTAAGGACACCGGTGATCTTCCTAAGCTGGCTTCTATTCAGTTTTAGAAGCTTAGAAGACCCCGATTTGCCAACGGGCCCTGTTAGAAAGGCCTTGGACTGTCGGAGTCCGGTTACTTGTTGCCACTGAGCCTGGAATTGACTGGTCAACCAATCTTTAATCCTGGCCCTAACAACGGAGGGAGCAATCCCTAGGGTAGGCTCGGGCCCGACAAAGACTCCACCACTGCCTTCGCGAGCCAACTCGTCCGCCCTTTCGTTGCCCCCTATTCCGCAGTGCGCTGGCACCCAAATCAAGCTTACCCTATTAGACTCACCTAATCTATCTAGGGTTCGCCTGCAATCAAGCGCCGTAGCTGATCGGAACCTGTCTACCGACAGGGCCCTCAACGCCGCCTGACTATCACTGCATATGTATATATGCTTGTTACGGTAACCTCTACGGAGGTTTTCCTGTGCACAGGTCATGATGGCTAACATCTCTGCCTGAAACACGGTGCTATGCTGACCAAGGGAGACGCTGACGCTGGCTCTCGGTCGATCACCATATATACCCATGCCCGTTCCCCTTTCTGTTTGGGACCCGTCTGTAAACCACACGAGCCCCTCAGGTTTGAGGAACGAGCAATCCGAGTTCAGCCACTGCTCCCTATCCGGGAGAATGACTTTATAACGCTTTGGTCTTAGCAAGATAGCCCGGATCACGTCCCTCCTTGCAAGGAGGGGATCGGTTCTGAGGGTTTCCTCCCAGATCCGCCCGCGCCCAAGGCTGCCTCGACCCTTCCATTCATCCCAATCGTTTAGCCGTATGGAAGCTTTCCGAGCCTCTGCCTCCACAGCTAAGTGTAAAGGCTCTAGTCCCAGAAGTGCCTCCATGGCCAAGGTTGGCGTGGTTTTTAGGGCTCCAGTGACTCCCAGACAGGCGAGTCGCTGGACCTTTCCTAGCTGCTTCCTGTAGGTTACCATGCGCATGGCAGGCCACCATACAGTATTATTGGCCTTATCACTGCAGTGTAAAGCCAGTATACCAATCGAGGGTTCAAGCCCCATGTACAACCAAAAGCCCTTCTGCATGCCCATAGACATGCAGTGGCCTTTTTGCTTATGCGCTCAATGTGCCCTTTCCAGGTCAGGCGGGAGTCAATGATGACTCCCAGGTATTTCACTGACCTGGTCAGACCCAGTTGACGTCCTCGAAGAGCGAGCCCAGTAAGATCCGCTCTCCTTCTATTCGTGAATGAAACAACCTCGGTCTTTTCCGGGTTAACGGAAAGGCCATGGCTACTGCACCACCTATCCACCTGTTCAAGAGCCCCCTGCATGAGCTCTTTCACGGTGTTTGGAAACTTCCCAGTTATGACGATCGCGAGATCGTCCGCGTATCCCTGTGTATACGCTCCCCCCTCGTTCAGGGTGCGGAGGAGCCCGTCTAGTACCAGGCACCACAGCAGTGGAGACAATACCCCACCCTGCGGACATCCTCTAGTAACCGATGAGCTCATCTCCGTCATCCCAATTGAGGATATAATGATTCTGCTTTCGAGCATGGCTCGGATCCATCTTACGATCGACCCATCAATACCAAAGCTCTCAGCAGCCTCACTAATCGAATCGAACGTGGTGTTGTTAAACGCACCCTCGATATCTAAAAACGCTCCCAGAGCTATCCCCCCGGAAGACATTCCCTTTTCCAGCCTGCACACCAGGCTGTGTAGAGCCGTCTCCGTGGACATACCAGCCCTGTAAGCATGTTGGATGTAGTGGTCTACTAATTCCAGTACGCCATTCCTAATGTATGCATCCACCAGCTTCTCCACCGTTTTTAGAAGAAACGATGATAGGCTGATGGGCCTATAGTCCTTCGCCACGTCATATTTAGCACGACCCGGCTTAGGTAGGTACACAACTCTTACCTTCCTCCAGCTTTCGGGGATATACCCTAAAGCCAGAGAGGCTCTGAAGAGATGCAACAAGTGCAAGAGCAGCGGATCCAGGCCCTTCTGTAGAAGAGCCGGGAATATCCCATCCGGTCCTGCACTCTTAAATGGGCTGAACGTGTTGACCGCCCACCTCAGAGATCCCTCGGTAACCACCCGGGAAGCTACCTTCCAGTTGATCGGCCTTACACCGACCCGAGTAGCTCCTTTTGGTGGGTCCGAGGTTAAGTAGTCCCCAGAGCCTGGAAAATGTGTTTCCAGGAGACATGTGAGTGCCTCACCCGCGGTAGACGTATATCTACCGCATGGAAGCCTCAGTGTCCCCACTTTTTGCCCCGGGTCCTTCAAAAGAATTGAATTTCACTAGAGATTGTAAACTGTCAATGAGCGAATAATGATTTAATCCGCTATCAGCACGCGTTGTTTGCCACTCGAGTTTGTTTACTGATCTGTTATATATAACAAAGTCTTATCACGGTTGAGAGGTTCCGCCCCTGTATATACAACTTGCGACGATACATACATTTTTGAGAGTTGGCAACCATGCAATTTCTAGTGATGTTTCATGTGGTTGAATAAAAATATTGTTATTGTTATGAAGTTATTAAATGTTTTTACACAGAAGCTGTGGTTTTTATTTCTAGAGTGTGTTAATCATCAGAGGAGATTCTATTAAGGCAATGAATTCACTCAATAGTGGAGATAATGATGGACGATCAAATAATGATGAAAAAGTGAGTACTGCTTTATCATTACAAAATAAATTGCACAATGGAAATGGGCTATATTTTTACAGACATTTCTTTCCTTGTAGATTTGTAATAGATTGACATGGATTAAAACTATTTTTGGAGAAGATTCTTATTATCCATCCTGCTTCACTTCCGAACCTAAGCTACGTAAGGATCTGTACTTAGTAATGTCAAATACCGGTACTAGAAATATTAAGCAACGATGCAGAGATTTACATAAACAGTTTGTTGAATATACAATGAATAAAGTGATTCCCATTGGTGGAATGATTAAGGATTTGCTGCACTTAGTGATGATTAATGGAGGGCTGCGCCCCTGGCAACCCACTTACAAGAAACAGGATTGTGAACTTAACTACTTGATAGATAGAGTAGTACTATGTCCAGAACTGAAACTTGAAGGCATTGACAAAGATAAATACAGATCTGTTGCAAATGTAACAAGGAGTGTTGGTGTGCAACATGTTGTGCTCTCTTCGGTGCCAGATTTATCTGACGGTTCAGTATTTGAGTCACTTGAGTCATCTGATTCAGGTGATAAATTAGAAACTGAGCGAAAGAAGAAACTTCGTAAGGTTTGTCAAGAGGCAAAGAATATAAATGTAGACAGCCACATTAGTAATTTCAGGCGAGATCCATTAATACTATGTCAAGTGGACATTTTAATTTTAATCACACTAAGCAATGCCGCCTATGTGGCTAAACATCTCGGATTAATTTATTTAGAAGATGTGCTAGATGATGTACAGAACGTGACAGAATATTTGTTAAATACTAATGCAAAGTGTTACAAGCTGGCTCAAACTCGCATTACTGAAAAGCTGATGAATGGATTCAGCAACATCGTCGTCACATCCAACATCTCCGCGTGGAAGAACATTCGAGCAAATGTGAGAGCGATTTTGACAGAAGAAAATATGCTTGATGTGATATATCGAAAGGAAATGAATGAGGCTTCAGATTATGTCGTTTTGGTCGATAGTTTTTTGTCCTGCGTTGAAGCTATAGGAGGCATTGTAAGCAAAGCTTTGCACTTCCCAGTTACAACACCAGTTAAATATGAAGTTGATGGGAAGAAATTTGCCACAATCAACGTACCTATAACGGCCATAGTACCGCTATATATAATTAGATACTTGACGCAATACTACATGGCATCAAACACAGCTGCAGAGTTAAGTTTATCAAAGTTGCTTGACTGTTGATGAGTTCTACGAAATTTTGTGTTTTTGCGTTTTGTTCTTTTACTTCTTACCAGGAATGATAAAATACTGTAACTTATATGGATCTCTTAAAATTCTTGTGAACAGATAGTATTATAGCAGCCAGTATTTTATTTTTTAATTAATTATCTCTTGAGTGATGATCAGTAATCTATGGTTCTAACTAACGACTTATATGGCGGACACTAAACAATTTTTTTAATTACTAGGGTAAAAAGTGACATTTAAGAATACAAAATAATATTTCAGCAGTCTAAAAAATATGGTATTCAATATTGTAAACTGTGATATAAGATATTTTAATACGCAATTGGAAATACACCAAATGATGTGATTTTTTTCATTAAACGTTTGTGGTTTGAACCTTTATTTTTGTTTTGTTTTTTATTAGTCCTACCTTAGTGTAAAGAATAGAATAGTGAGATGTGTCAATATTACCATCCACTATAAAGATTGGAGGTTAAAAAAATACAGATTGTTTTCTCGAAATGATTACGCTACTCAACGCTAGTACTGTACAGAAATCTTAGTTCTCAGATTTTGCATACACATGCCTTTAGTGGTGCCAAGTTAAACTTTAGAAAATGGGGGGTGGGGGTAAACACATGTTCTACCCTTCATGGTATTGTAATGGTAGGTCTCATCAAAAGGAAAGAAAATGTTTTTTTCCGGTCGATCTGAGGCATTTTTTTTGAGGCCTCAAAAACCTTCCTTTTTTACCAAAAACCGACTACACCAAAATTTCTCGGGAAAACACTTCTTCTTATTAATTTTGGTGCGTAGAATCCAAATCGAATTGTACTTTTTCGATTAGACGTCTCAATCAAAAGTTATGGACTAAAAACCAATTTCGAAAGAAAATTCAAAGGGCTGTAACTTTTGAACTAGTAGCCCAATCTTGGAACTGTTTGAAATTA